TCTCACAACTCTGAATGTACTGAAGGGCGGCGACAGTTTGCCACAGACCCTCACTCTGACCGAACTATGCGCATAGAGCGCTCTGAGAATGTTTATATATTTTTGGGCACAGCTTTCCTAAGCGGGCAGTCGCAAAGGGCACGTAGATTCACCGAATCGAAGGCACCATTGCTGCCCAGAAACACCACAACGGTGGGTTGCCAATATACATGGCGTTGCTCCAAAAATTGACGCAGTTTGAAGATGTATTCGATGTAGCCACGGCCTCGACGAAACTCTGCTTGCTCCTCGCGAAGCTGACTTTCACGAGTGGCAGTCAGTTTGTGGCGAAATACAAATGCAAGTCATTTGGAGACAATTGAAATCAGAATGATGTCTCTGTTACTGCCGTATTCCGAACGGGAGCTTAGCTTGAAAATTGGGACTATGATTGAGCGACTCCAGTCAGTTGGGATAACTTACTGCTTTCACAGCTTCACTAGTAACTCGTGTAAATCATATAGAAAAGCATATCCCCAGAATTTGAAGAGGGCTTGGGAAATTCTCTTTGCCCGAGAGGTGCTATTGAATTTCAGCATTCTGATCCCACGTTCGACTTCTGCGCGTGAGGGCGGATCCAATGAGACGACCCAGGGAGAAGGGCAATCAAGGACCGAAACAGGAAGTAATAACTCAGACTGGTTAAACTGCTTTGCATAGTCGTTGTCCTGAAGCTCTAAGCGTTTTGGCAAGCTGTGGATCGGCTGTCCCATCTCGTCGCGTATGGTCTCGGCGTTAACTCTTGTCTAATTCAGTTTCTGTTCCGATCCCGAATTTGTTTGTTGTGTAAAGTCACTGAACCACATATTCTACTGTGGATTTTAAAGCGTGTTCTGGTCGTTCTATTGATTCACTTTTTGGCCGTCATAACTGCTAAGCCGCTCGTAATTACGAAGCAGACTCCATGTGACACTTATTGCAAAGTTGTTGGACATAGAGCTAATGCTGTCACATGCCTGATTTGTCATTTGAATTTCATATCTCGTACACTGATTTATCCATCGGTCAATCTAAATTTTGCATTGAATTCAGCATGACTTTGTCCAAATGTGGTGTAAGAAAAGCCAGACTCAAGTGCAATCAACAGCAGTCGATGAATCTCGCAAGCCAACAAGAAGGGTGAAAGGTTCCATAGCGAGGAGTTCTTTGGGTTCATCCCCACAATCGGAAACCCAGCCACCCTTATGTTCGAATAAAGCCAGCTGCTTGCCGGCTGCTAGCTCTCCGGTGTCCATCCGTTAGTTGAGGTTCCGCTTGTGTGTCTGTGTTGTGTCCTAAAGGCACTAACGACCTTCTTTGGGATAGCGTAAGAGTTGTAGGTCAAAAGAAAATCAACGAAGGAAGTAAGAGTAACTGCCAACGACCAGCGGCGTTCTAACCTCATTTCATCTGCCTGAGACAACTGAAGCAAATGCACAGGCTCGCTATAACCTCGGTGTTAAGTTGCAGCAGCGTCTAATCGGCACTCACCAAGGCACTAGTGAACAGAGGTTGAGGGTGAAGCAAATCACCAGTCTTAGAGAAAGAAATGAGTAGAAGACTTGGCTCTGTGGCTCACGTTCATTGATGAAATCAGCCTGCGACTGATCCTATCCCGTCTTGATAGGCTAAGAGGTCTGAAGATCCATATTCGTCCAGATATAGATCCATCAGACTGTGCGAAACTCAAGTTCGCTATCAGTGAGCTTTATCAACTTACTGATATTGGGGAAACTAATCACCACATTGTAAACTTTCGGGTAGTGTCCGGGTCCTCCGAACCCTGATAAACAGGTCGATGACGATCCATGTGCGGCAAGCGGTACCTACGGTGGACTGCGCATAGTCTTCACTAATTTTTGCAGTTAAATGAACAAACTTGACGATCTATGCCACTTCGTTCCATCTCTTCGGCCGGAGATACTAGGACTGGCTGAGACTTGGTTGAATCCTGACATAACCTCGCCGAAAGTCCAAATCGAGGGCTACTCGTGCTTCTGGTGCGAAAGACTTTCGAACGATCGCGACACTGTGCTGTTGCACATCCGCTCATCATTGTTCGCGCCACTGGTAAACACTTACGGAAGTGAGGATGATCTATACGAACAACTGTGGTGCTTAATCCACCTTAGACTTGGCGTAGTGTTCGCCGGTGTAGCCTATTGCAGTCCACGAAGTCCCTGTTTGGATCGGTTGCCGCATGTTCGAAACCCCATGAGCCGTCTCTGCTTTTTGCTTATGCGTGCTGTTAACTTCCCCCGATTACGCTGGCCTGAGGTTTAAGTTTTTCAGGGCGTTGTTAAGTCGATGCAGAGTAAGTAAGTGGGGCAGCACAACACATCTGCCAGCTGACGCGCATTACACTGCACTCAAATCCATCATGCCTGGACCTGATGTTGACTAGCTGCAAACAGAGCGTGTGTGATCTTTCGGTCCCAGAACTTATAACAGCACGTGATCACTTGATAATCATGGGCAGTCTTGACCTTTCGCTGCCATACGCGTCTACTGGAGCCAGCCTACAATCAGTGGATGATTGACTTCAATGGTCTCACTCGAGCCGCTATTCAAGTGTACACTTCGCTTTTGCAAGATTCATCTGTTGAAGCCTGTTGGTCTGTTATAAAAGGGTATGAAATCGTTGTGCACTCGATTGGTATCCCACAAGTATCGAAAATCTGGGACTTGAAGCCTCGTTGATTCGACAAAGAGTATGGGCAACTGGCCCGACGACGATGAGTTTTGTGGATTAAATGCATCCACTCCGGCTCTGCCGGCGATTACGAGGTGCATAAAAGCGACGAAATCAATGCAACAGCGGGAAAGCCCATACATGTTGGCAGTTCAAATAGCAGGTTGCAACCGTAGCAAAGACGGTTCCCAAGCGAAGTTTGCTCACGTGAAGCCGCGACGTAGCAGTGTTAGAAAGTTTTGACTAATAGCTTCTGACTTTCAGAGTTGAACATGCGTCCGCGTTAGGGAAGCACCAAGCTTCCGTAATGGCAAATGGGTATGCGTCTCTACTAATCACAACGTGTGCGGCCCCTGCAGAACTCGACAGCAGGAATTGCGATGTGGAAGATGTCCGCGATCTACTTGCCAGTCTTGACTGCACGGAGCCTTCCTGCCCTGATGGTTCCCACCCGCTGGTTCTCAAGTCGATTTAGACCATGCTATGGCCCTCCGTGGATGATCTGTTCAGTAGACCGCTGTCAAAATGTGCATTGCCCAGCTACTGGAGATGCTCGATAGTGAAGCCGAGTCCGAAAGGCGGCGGCGTAAATAAAATGCACATGTACTGATCGATTTGTCTGACCTCCGTTTTGTCCAAGGTAACTGACAAGCTCGTGAAAAAGCGGTTCACTACAGCTGCTAAGGTCAAAAAGCTTCCGGCGTTTACACAGCACGGCTTGATGAAGGGCCGCTCCTGTATCATCAACTTGCTGTTGAAGCGGCATTATAGGTTGCAAGCATTTAAACGGGTGATGTCGGTGGATGTGTACTAGATTGGTTCCAGTAAAGCGGCAGACAAGATAACCATGAGACTCTCCTCAATAAGCTAAGGATGTGCGGTATTGGTGGCTGGATGCGCCGCTGGATCAGTAAAGTCTTCATTGCACGAAAATAGAGGATGCAGGTGGATGATCATCTAACATACTGGTATCTATAAACTAGTGGGGTACCCCAAGACACAGTACTCGGGCCCATTTTGTTCTTGATTCTTATAAACAAAGTACCTCCGCTTCTCCGCTCGAACTTTACTTTGTTTGCGGGCGATTTAATTATATGGAGAATAATTGATGTTCCCGTCTATTGCAACGTACTTTGATATGATCTCGAGTGCCTGCCCATGTGGTCTGCAGAGGTAGATTTGCCGGTCAACCCAGTCAAATCGTTGGACATGAGCCAGGGGAAGGGTGGTTATTGATGTATGTACACTCTGATCGGCCATAAGATACATCCCAAATCTTCGTTGAAGTGCCTCGGAGTACTCTGATGCTGCGATTTAAAGTCCGAGGAAAACCAAGCTATATGGGAACGGACTGAGCATGCTTTGTGCGTTCAAACGAAGCTTCTGCGTTCTGTCTGCATCTGCATCGATTCCCCATGCTGAGGCTACTGCTTCACGTGTGCGCACCAAGCAGTACTCGAGACCACCATGTTTGTGGTACCGGACCTAAAGCGAATAGATCATCTCTTTACTTCGAGTGGCGAGTGATAAAATGTTGGAACAGTTTGTCCGAGAAAATAGTCGAGCGAAATTGGTGTTGGAATTCATATAACTCTTAGAAACCCACTTTGTGGAGTTCAGATACAGGGAGCGCATCGCATCTGCATAGCTTATGGCGCAACTGTGATATGCTTCAAGCGCGCAAGAGTCAGTGGCTTGATTCCGCGCACGCACCTGATCTAACCAAAATGGAGCGACACAGATATAGAGCTACTAGCTCATTGTTCTTGTCATTCGGTATGCAGTATTCAGACCACTTGGGTCGGGGCTTGAAGGCTGGGTATACAAGCATTCAGTTCTGCTGCGCCTTTAACACCCGAAATAAATATGGGGTGGTTCAGTCCCCAGATAATATCTTGGTCGCATATAATAGAAAGCCTGCTTCAAATCAGTTACGGCTTGGCCATGAGATAGACATCGATATTTTAACCTGCTCTTATCGTCCGCAAACTTTCCTGTAAGATGTGAAGCCACATAGGACTCCAATCGGACCAGAGCTATCATTGGTTGAACTGATAAAGTTGTAAGCCTCATTTATACTGCCCATAGACTAACCAGTATTTCAGCAAGAACTACTATAGACTACCGTTTGTGATTTGCTTGCTATACCCCCCAGTTAAAGGATGGCGTTTCACTATAATTTTATCATTACATTAAAAGGCTACAACGAACTCCTGTTGGTTCCCAAGCAGGGGCTGTAAGCATGCTTTTTATGGCAAGTCTGCAGTAGCTCAGAATTATTTTGACTTACGCGTTCACAGTGTAATTCGGTATCAGTCCTCCTCTGGGTTGAATTGGAAGCGTGCTTGCAGCTGAGACCGAGTATGATGGGTAGCATTGTTGGACCAGGCGGATCATCTTGGCCGGTACGCTGCACGACTCAGATCTCACTCGAACTTGGCGGAGACGTGGGACGCCAAGCAACTTGTTATCGAGACCGATGAATTCTCTCTCATTAAACGACACGTTTCGTTTATTATACCACGTGTCCCAGTAGAGTGCGTCGAATACTTGGAGATGGATGTACTGAAAAAGACAAAATTAAGACATCAGACAACAACTACGTGAACTACATGTTGCTATCGCAGATGTGTGTAAGTCTAAAGAGAGCAAACTGGATTACTCGAGTTAAACAGGCAGAAACGTATCCGCGTTCTTCAACCGCATAAAGATAATAAATGCTACTCCGGTGCAATGGTGCTGCTCCCCATCGTCGTGGAGGGTTATATTGCATCTCATTGCCTCCAACAGTAGCAGAGGGAGGGGGTCTTGATCTACCAACATCCTGGGTCGCAACAGGAATGGTACCACGTTTTGTGTATTCGCATACATGGTGGATCCTTGCCGTCTTCTCACTGTCATTAGTAAAGTTGTTTAACTAATAGCTTTGGTAGTCTAAGTTTGAGCATCCTGACAGTATTTAAACCCCTGCATAACCGTGATGAGTCTATGGACATTCACTTTCAGACTATTTCCGCCGTCGAACCGTTTCAAGAGTTTTCGAAAGGTAAAGCGAGGGGTTCCAGCACTAGTCACGGCTGACGGCTGCACAATATCCGCAATGGAAGCAGCTGATCTCCTACGGCTTCATTACTCCCAGACTTTCCAGGAGGCAACGAGCACAAACATTCCCCTCATTCCTACTACTCCACCATCTGGCTTAGAAAATATCACGTTCACTGCGGAAGCTGTGTTGAAGAAGTTGTTATGCTTGCGTATCCACAGTTCTCCTGGAGCTGACAACATCCGACCAAAGGCTCTCCAGGCAGTAGCTAGTGATCTAGCAGAACCACTGGCTATTTTCTATAAGTGATGTCTAGAGGAAAACCGTATTCCACCAGTATGGAAGCGAGGGGTCATCACTCCTATTCATAAAGGAGGTAGCCGCACTGATCCTGCCAACTACCGTCCAATAACACTACTTTCCGTACTATCCAAAGGGATGGAATCAATCATCGCAGATGCGCTGATGGAATACCTGGAAAGCCACAATTTAATAGCCCCAGAGCAACATGGCTTTCGTCAAAAGCATTCGTGTAATACCAACCTATTAATTGCACGTAACAGCTGGACTGAAGCTGTTGATGATGGAGTTGGAGTCGATGTCATCTACCTAGACTTTTCAAAAGCATTTGATCGCTTAAACCATCGCATTCTCCTTCACAAGCTTCGGAATTACGGCATTGGCGACCAGATCCTGAGTTGGATTGACAATTTTCTACAAGAACGAAGGTTAGTGGTGAGAGTCCGAGAATCATTGTCTGATGCAATCGATGTGGCGTGCGGGGTACCACAAGGCTCGGTTCTTGGACCTCGTCTATTCTTGGTGTTCATTAACGATTTGGCGAGATCAATTACTTCCGATTTCCTATTTTTCGCTGATGATATCAAGATATGGCGAAGGATCAGAGGACCGGAAGACCATGAACGACTCCAGTGCGATCTTAACACAGTGTCGAACTGGTCACTTCAAAACTCCCTACCGTTCAATGTAGACAGATGTCGCGTCGTACAATTACGCCATCGTCATAACTATACCTATTCACTTGGGACCAAAGGACTGCGGAATAGCTCCCAGGAACGTGACCCAGGTGTGATCGTACAGAGCGACCTCAACTGTTCAAAACAGGCTAAGGTTGCTGCGAAAAGAGGCAACCAGCATGTCGGCATGTTGCGAAGAGCATTCGGAAGATTTGACCCATCAATCTTCCCAATGATGCACAATTCCTACGTGCGCCCACATGTTGAATACGCTATCCAAGCTTGGCAACCTTGGTTGAAGCGCGACCTAGAAGCGATAGAGGCACCACAACGGAAAGCAACAAAAAATGTGAAGGGCCTGCGCTATCACTCTTACCACCGTAGGCTGAAGTTGCTGGGAATTTTCAGCGGGCGCTATCGAAGACTGCGCGGTGATCTCATATTAGCGTATCCAATATTGAGTGACCCCAACCACGTATGCCGCCATTTGCTGAAACTTAGCCACAACAAGCAGCTCAGGGGAACTGCTTAAAGTTGAAGTAACAATATAGCCGTCTAGAGTGTCGACGGAATTACTTTTCCCTTCGGGTTTGCCAATCCTGGAACGCACTCCCAGACTCAGTTGTATCCTCTCCTACTTTGGATGTTTTCAAATAACGATTAGATGTTGCTCTTAGCTCCAAACATTTTGTTACCTAAACTCCCCTACTGTGGATTACGCCAACGATGCATTACAACAGGATTTATGTATCAAACGGATCTAAGTGAGCGACCATATTTTACTTTGCTCACTCTTTACCTCAATGATCACTGCACCCCAGTGTCTTTCTGAACGTTTATGCTCGATAATTTTTTAATTTTACACTGATGTTAATTATCAAAGTATTCATCTCGGCAGACGTTCGGTAGATGACCCAGACATATTTTGATTTCATCATATTCACCTCAACCATCCTACGGGACGTGTCAAGCACTTGCTTTTATCCCGTGATAAATCATTGTTCATTGTTCATTGTTCATATATACTTCACATAGTAAAGCGGATAGACGAAAACAGACCATTGCTGTGAAGACGCAGTCGTCTTGGTCCAGAATGGTTGTTGGAGGCTTACAGCATTCACATCAGAGCACTGCTCCCCTCTTTTTACTCCCTAACTGTAGGGTGGTTATGATTGTGTGGCAGCGAACCACCAGCACAACCTATCGAGGTATTTCTAGTGATGGGGCGCATAACTGTCGAGCTCCTATGGTACACTAGAACCTACTTGATGCACTCTTGTCCTTGGAGCGCTTACTTTCTACATCTCCGCCTACCTCGTGCACCATAGACAACACACGTCTGTTCTCCTATCTGTTTAATTGCTTCATAGTGCGTCCGTGTCAAGGTCCCATCGCCGGACGGTCGAAGCAATTAGCCTCCCTCGTTTGCGGATTTATCCCACTCCTACTCGGAGCACCACAATTTGCCTATGCTCATCTGACATGGATTTCCCAGCTCCACCCAGCGGATCTGTGGTCATGCGATTCTGCCGCCACATCACCATCCACCCTCAACTCGTGTTCTCGTAGGAAACCTGCGGAAACATGAGTCCAATTACTACATTCTTCGAGTGCATACCATAACGTTTAACTACATTTGGGAAAGCTCGTAATGCTTTTCAACCTGCTCGAGTAAAACAATCAGAGGTTCTGTCTGGAAGCTGTAGGCATTTTTCAGTTACTAGATTAACGTCACTCCATTTATAGTGGCCTCTTTTATCACCACGGTTGCCTTATCCACTAAATTTTGACAAGATAGGCGGGTCGGCCGACACAAATACAGACCAGTAGGAGGGGTTGAATCGCACATAGTGCCAAAAATTAGCGCGTGAACAGGCCAGACCATTGACCTTGCTCTCTCTACTGAACAACGGTAGAGATTTCCGTGACAGCGAGACACACGTGAACACCGCAATCCGACCACGCATTACCGCTACCTGTTCAATCAACGATCTTCAGCTCGATGGCATGGACTCTCGGCCCACCTACCCAAGGACAGAACTAGCGTCAAGGTGCACAGAAAAGTGCTTACGAACCATCGGGCCTTAGGGCGATGCAGTTTGCCGACGGGATTCGAATGTGTTACATACCCAAGGGTATCAGTAGGTAAGGCAAGCAAGTGACAGTAATCGTCACAGGGATCGCACGTCCGCTCTGTGCTAAATGGTTTCAAGAAACAGAACCGAACCTACAGAGCGAAGGAAGATGCAGTGTACCAACAAATAATCCGTGGTTTTGTTATGTATGCTCGAATAGTCAAATAGTTCAGATTATTCAAAACTTTGCGCAGGGAGGTGAAATGCTAGCGACAATATACGTAGAGAAAGGAACTGGTCCCGGTCTTTGGAGGGAAAGCACTGAACTCAAGCAGTAGATTGCTGTCCTACTTAGCTCAAATCCCAAATCTGTCGGAAGATAAAACTATCCAGCAAAGGTTTTACACAGTCGTGTGAAATATTAGCCTCAGTGGTGATAAATAACGGTGACCCGGGTCGTTGGAACGGTCTTCGTGTCGAGTTTTTAACAAAATGCGCGACCACCACCGTGGTGTCCGTTATGGGCTAGACAATCACACCTGATCCGTACAAGCATCGTGCTTAACAGTGGTGTACATGAGCATTCTTGTAGTGCTGGCTTGTCCTGAACACAAGACAAACCCCCGCTCGCAACGAACTGCAGACTAAACACTCACAACGCAATCAACTGGCTTTGACGGGGATTTGTTCAAACATCAAAAAACTTAGTAGTCAATCGCTCAAAGGTACAGTCGTCGAGGAGCATAATCGGCGAGTTGAGACAACCTGTACACTAAGATTGAGCATTCTTCAAATTATATTGCAGGTACTTTCAGAAGGGTCTGAAAACAATCGATTGGTATAGTCTGTGGGCAACGTTTCGCTTCTGATACAAAAGCCTTGTTAGGCCGAGTGAGTCAGTGCATGACTGGTATAGCGCTTTTAGCAAACCGGGAAGATGATCGCGAAGACTGAAACGTAGGTAGAAGGTTAATCGCGTTACAAGTTAGTCACTAAAAGTGGTGGATAGAACGGTGAGTAGTATAGGAATTGATTGTGTTTTGAACAAGGTTCGCCGCAGCCAGACTTAGCCAGACAGCCACGACACATGCAGGAATGGGTAGACGGCCATTTCGCCCTATTGGGACCAGTTAGTAGCGATGCCCGCCGAGTCCCACCGGATTCGAAAGCATCACCTTTCTCTTACGAGTCAGGGACTTATGCCACTGAGCAGTTGGTGGGGGCAGCAAACCGCCGCAAATAATATATAAGTGCGATATAGCGCGGTTCATCCTCCACTACCATGGATGTTATGAATGTGCACAGAAGAGAGTTTACTCCCAGAGCTACGACCTCCTTTGCAATATGCCACCAATCGAGGCGGCATGTAAGCTGCTGGACAGTGTAGCATTTGCGCTACATAGTCCAGCGAAAAAAGTGCACCATTGGTGCCAAACATCAGTGAAAACACGCCGGTTGAACAATCTCCAA